GCAGGTAGACACGCAGCAGGTAGACAGGCTGCAGGTAGACAGGCTGCAGGTAGACATGTAGACAATAACGAGTCTTGACTTTAACGAGTTGTTTTGTTAACAAGTTGCGACTTGAACGAGTCGTAATATTTTTGCGTTGAGACAATAATGGGTTGTGTCATTAACTAGTCCTGTCATTAACGACCCACATTATCACATAACTAGAGTAAACTGACTAGAAGCCAGATGAAACAGCACCACACCACTTCACATATCACATATATTCACATGTAATACGACGACAGCATAACAGCTGAGTTCTCTTCAGCTCCAGAGGAAACGACACATAGGAAACGACATCGTGGGCGTGGTGTTCCAGGAGGAGGCCACGCCTTTTGTCCCCGACATGATCGCCTCCAACTTCCTGCACGCCTTCATCCTGGTGCAGGTGGAGGAGCCCTGCTCCGACAGCACCTCCTACAAGGTGAGTTCTGTAGCTTCTAGCATGATAGACATATTTAATATAGATAGATACACACAGACAAATCCACACAAAGAATACTGCAGAAACAGGAGTCATGTGTCTCTCTTTGGTTCGTCTTTGTCTTTTCCTGTGTTGTTGTTAAAGTTGTTTTTAAACATCACTGTAATAACTACATATTGAAAGCTATTTTGTTGAGTTGTTTCTTAGGGAAATGCTCGGAGTGAGTTTAAGTTCCCCTGGTAAGAAATGATCCATATATCTATTAAACCGTGACAGCAGAAACTGTTGTGATTGACAGGTTGCCGTCACAGCACGAGAAGATGTACCTCCGTTTGGCCCGCCCCTCCCAAATCCATCTATTTTTAAGAAGGTGAGAGGAAGAGGAGGTTGGACCGTAGAGTATAAGACAAATATGATACAACCTTATGTTGCTGGTGCTCTTTGTGTGTTCAGGGTCCAGAGTTCAGAGAGTTTCTTCTCACTAAACTCATTAACGCAGAGATGGCCTGCTACAAGAGCGACCGCTTCGCCCGACTGGAGGTAAAAACACACAGTGGTGAAATGTAACAAAGCACTTTCATGGAAATACTCAAGTAAAGCACAAGTTTCTTACAATTGCACTGAAGTACAGTACTCAAGTAAATGTACTTAGTTGTGGTGTTCCACAGGGCTCAAGTTTAGGTCCCCTGTTGTTTTCTATCTACATGCACTATTGTTGGTCTGTGTGTGTGTGTGTGTGTGTGTGTGTGTGTGTGTGTGTGTGTGTAGGAACGTACCCGGGCTGCCCTGCTGGACAGCCTCCATGATGAGCTGTACAGACGCTCCCAAAGCATGCTGGGATTGACGTCGGGCCTAGAGGAGGAGGGGCGAGCTGAGAACGGACACGCCCACGGAGGTCTGCTGGAGTCCATCAAGGTATGTGTGTGTGTGTGTGTGTGTGTGTGTGTGTGTGTGTGTGTTTGTTTGTGAAAAACTAAAACTAAACGTTTACTGTAGGAGATAGTCCACATCGTTCATGGGGACCACAGTTACTATAAGAAATACTACGAGTCAATGACGACAACACTTGTCAAATAACCAAAAAACAGAGCATCTTAAACCAATTAAAACACTATTTAAAATATTATATTCATATTATTATAATATATAAACTCTAGAATAACAGTAAAGGACAGCAGCATGTTTTATGCTGTTTTTTGGAGCCAGAAGTGACCATATTTAGATGAGTGGGTGGAGCTGGAGAAGAGCGAGATCTAGTGGGGCCGGCTACCGTTAGCATAAGAAATGCTAAGTTACCAGCTAACGCTAGCTTGGTTAGCAAGGGGGCCCCCATAATTCACATTAAGAACTGTGAGATTAATTGTGGTGCTAATTCTGACCAGGCTTCTTTTGTAATATACTTCCCACAAACATTTTTAGCACATATATTTCATATACTCATACACTCATGTACTCATACACTCATACACTCATACACTCATACACTCATACACTCATGTACTCATACACTCATGTACTCATATACTCATACACTCATGTACTCATGTACTCATACACTCATACACTCATGTACTCATACACTCACACACTCATGTACTCGTGTAGTCATGTACTAACACTCTCTCTCTTTCTCCTCGAGAGGGCAATTCGAGGACGGAGCGTCTCCATGGAGACCATGTCGAGGGGGGGGGCGGGTCTGCCCACCAGCCTGAGTGGGGGGGGTCTGGCTGAGGTGAGCGGAGGTCAAAGGTCGCTGAGGAGGACTGGCTTTATTTATTTATTTATTTATTTAGAAACAGATTCAACAGTGTGAGGACATCGACGAAATGGAATAATTGAATTCAAACTATTATATATACTTTATATGTAAATAATACAGTTTTTATCTGTTATTATATATATATATATATATATATATATTATATATACATAAATTTTATATATATATATATATATATATATATATTATTATTTTTATTATTATTATTATTTTTATTATTATTATATTATTATATGATTATTGTAAACTGCTGTGTGTGTGTGTGTGTGTGTGTGTGTGTGTGTGTGTGTGTGTGTGTTTATCTCAGTGTAATGTGAAATCTCCTGTGAAGAGACGTTCAGGACTTTTTCCTCGGCTGCTGAGTATCGACAGTCAAACAGAGAAACACAACCAGAGGAGGTAACTTTTATTTTAGATTCAGACACTGCTGCTAAAAAACACAAACATTACATTTCTACTTCTAACCCTTAACAATAAAAGACTTACAGCAGGTCAATCTGACAGAGTTAGAGTAGTCGGGAGGTGGTTTTACTTGAAAGAGCTAACAGTTCCCCTCTGTTTCCAGTCTTTGTGCTAAGCTAGGCTAACAGTTCCCCTCTGTTTCCAGTCTTTGTGTTAAGCTAGGCTAACAGTTCCCCTCTGTTTCCAGTCTTTGTGTTAAGCTAGGCTAACAGTTCCCCTCTGTTTCCAGTCTTTGTGTTAGGCTAGGCTAACAGTTCCCCTCTGTTTCCAGTATTTGTGTTAAGCTAGGCTAATAGTTCCCCTCTGTTTCCAGTCCTTGTGCTAAGCTAGGCTAACTGTTCCCCTCTGCTTCCAGTCCTTGTGCTAAGCTAGGCTAACTGTTCCCCTCTGCTTCCAGTCCTTGTGCTAAGCTAGGCTAACTGTTCCCCTCTGCTTCCAGTCCTTGTGCTAAGCTAGGCTAACTGTTCCCCTCTGGACTCCACTACGTGTGATTCTTTAACACGTTCTTCTTTGTATATTGTGAAATGTTTCAGTCTCCTCAGTGAGCAGAGGAGCTTCGACAACTGCCACCCGACGCTGGAGGTGAGGTCAGAGCTGCCGTCCAATCCCAGCTCTCCGGAGGCGGGGCAACGGGACAGGTTTGTGACTCCTAGTATGGTAACACAGCAATGTGCCAACAAAGGAAATGAAGTTAACGTGGATCTAAACAATAAATGGTCCAAAATAAACAACAAAGACCTCAATTCTCTGATCTGATGTTATTATTATTGTTCATGTTTGTTAATCTGCAGGATTCACATGAAGAAGGAGAACAGTAAGGTTTCCAGATCCACATCCAGCAGCTGCAGCTTCAGCATCTCTGCTGCTGACGACACTCAGCTGGTGAGAAGAAATACGACGAACACACACAACATGACATATTTATATATAATGAGAGCAATAATTAAATAACTCGTCAATAAATCAAAACATTACAAAAATATGAAAGTTATGACTTTAAATTCATTTTGTTATGTTTAATAATTTGATTCCCTCAAACAGGAACAAACAGAAAACTATTATATAATCTACAATACATACTTATATATACATTTATATATACAGTATATGTATATATAAATATGTATTGATATATACATTAATACATATGTTTTGTGTTAATTTACAAAGTAACTAAAGCTGTAAAGTCTAAATTGGCATGATATGAAAATACACAAGTAAAGTACAAGTACCTCAAATTTGTACTTATATACAGTACTAGAGTAAATGTACTTCCACTACTGTCCACCTCTTAATTCCAGTTTCTCTCTCTCTCTCCCTCTCTATCTCTCTCTCTCTCTCTCTCTCTCTCTCTCTCTCTCTCTCTGTCTCTCTCTGTCTCTCTCTCTCTCTGTCTCTCTCTATCTCTCTCTCTCTCTCTCTCTCTCTCTCTCCCTCTCTCTCTCTAGCTCGCCCAGGCTGTGATGATAGAGGGTCATACTTCAGCTCCTCTCATCGTGTGTCGTAGTCCTACAGGTTCAGTACAACTTCCTGCTGCATCCACACACACTGGTGACACAGTTAGGTTACAGGAAACGTGTGATGTTCTGTGTAAAAACTCTAAAATAACAACACATTAAGAAAAAAGGATTTCCCCCAAGGGACAGATAAACTTATTAGGGCCCGAGCACCGACGTAGTCGGAGCGGAGGACCTATTGTTATTCTAATGTTTATTATTATTATTATTATTATTATTACTTTTCCGCTTTCATCGCAAAAAGGAGGTGCTTGGGATACTGGGAATTTTGTGAAATTTGGCACGCAAGCCAGAATTTGCGAAAATTGCAGTGTGATTGGGGTGTCCAGCTGCGGTATGAAATATTGGCTCGATAGCGCCCCCTATTGAGTAGCCCCAACATCGGGTTTCACCTAGCTGTATGAAATTTGGTAGGTATGTGGATCGTGATGAGACACACAAAAAATCCTCTTGAAATTGTTCTCTAAACCAAACAGGAAGTCAGCCATTTTTAATTCTATGACGTTTTTGGACCGTTTCAAGGCGTCATACTTTAACGAACTCCTCCTAGAGATTTGACCCGATCAACTTCAGATTCGGTCAGTATGCTCTTGAGACCTTGGCAGTGAAAAGTTACTCAAAGATCAAAAAGTTATCAAACTATGTGTCTGTGGCGTGGCGTCAAAAAAACACCATTCGCCGCAAAACAGGAAGTTGTTGTAACTCGGCCATACATTGTCTAATCTGCTCCAAATCTCTCATATGTCATAACATCCTGACCCGGAACACATCTATATGATAATTTAGAATCATAGTAATAGCGCCACCTAGTGGCAACTGGAAGTTGTAAGTTGTGTACTTTGACATCCTGCTCCTCACAGATTAATCAGATCCCTCTCAAATGTTGTCAGAACAGCCTTAAGACCTTGATAATGCTTCATTGTGAAAATTGTAAAAAGTTGTTGAAGGGCGACGACGTGGCGGTTCGGCGAATTTCGATCCTTCGCCATGAACGAATAAACTGATGTAACTCAACTCCACATCATCAGATCTTTACCAGATTGCACATGTTTGATTAGACTCCCGGCCTGAAGACATCTGCAGGCCAATTTTGAATCATAGTCATAGCGCCACCTACTGGTAACAGGAAGTTAAAGTCATTATACTTTGGCTTGTTTCTCTTAGTAGGTAAATCAAATCAACATCAAATTAGTTCCACACAAATGTAAGAAATTCATAATAGGAGTTCATGAAGCTTTTGATGTTTTGTCGAACGCCGTTGCCATGGCGACGCAGTCTTCGCCGTTAACAACGAAGGTCATTTTGAGAGGCTAAAAATGCTCGAAACATAAGCAAACTTGGCAAGCAGATTACAAGCCCAAAATTTAGTTATGGAATATGATTTTATTGGTTCAGAGTGGGAAATCGGCTCAATAGCACCCCCTACAAAATTTCGACAAAGCAGCCCTCGCAGTATGTTTGACCTAGATGTTTGAAATTTGGGAGGAATATGTATCACATATGGACTTAAATAAAAGTCTCTTGGGGCCATGCTCTAAACCCAACCGGAAGTCAGCCATTTTGAATTTTGTATGAATTTCTAGTGTCATTTTTGTCATTTCCAGGCACTGCACTTTAACGAACTACTCCTAGGGAATTAACCAGATCAACTTCAAATTTGGTCGGTACAGTCTAAAGACCTTTGTGATGAAAAGTTACTCAAAGCTTGTTGTTTCGTGAAAAGCTGTTGCCGTGGCGACGCATTCTTCGCCATGAAAGATTAAGGTGTTTTTGAGGGGCTAAAAATGCTCAAAACATAATCAAACTTGCCAAACACATTTAAAATCCTGAATGTTGTTATCTAATGTGATTTTAATGTTTCAGTGTGGCAAGTCTGCTCGATAGCGCCCCGACAATATTCCAACGATGCAGCCCTCACAGTACGTTAAGACCTTAGCGATTAAAAGTTACTAAAAGCTTGAGGTTTCATTGAACAACATGGACGTGGTGTGGCAGCCATTTTACATGGTTCACCATCATCCATCAAGCTGTTGTAACTCGACTGTACTTTGTCAAAACTGTCCCAAACTTGACATGCTTGAGTATAAATGATCTGTCCAGAGCTTCTACATGAGAATCAGGTTAAATGTTATAATGAATGCTTCACACTACAATCTAAAGTTACAGAAGAACTTAAAATGAAAACAGTGTTAAATTAAAGTGTTCAAGTAACAGCAAATGGCACTACTGTTTTGTTAACTTTCATGTAAGTCCAAATACAATCAGCAGGACACTGCAGGGAGTTGAACCCATCCCAGTAAACTGACAGTCTGTTATGTTACAAACACTGAAGCACATTCACACACATTCATTTTCTTTATGATCTTTAAAGGCTTACATTTATGATTGTATCGGAGGTACACTCAAAACATTTGAGGCTTAAGACCTGGCAACATGATCTTGCTGCACTGCTGGTCTACGCAGGAAATATCTCACTCGTGCACGCAGAGTGTGATGGCGACAGAAATTCATGGCCACGTCACCCAGAGTCCTGCCAGTACCAGGAAATACCATTTAACTTGTGTCACAGAAATGCATGGCCAGAGTCCTGCTAGTACCCTCGACGTGCGTGAAGTTGCGAGGGCCCGATCAATGCTGCTCGCAGCTTTAATTTATATTCCTGTTATGCTTGTTTGTTGCTTCCTGTTGTTCATGATTATTTTTTTCGTCTTTCAGAGATGAAAAATAAAAACTCTCCCAGGTCAAACCTCAAGTTTCGTTTTGACAAGTTGAGTCACTCTGCTGCGGTAAGTCTGTCTTTATACGTCACACCATGGTCTGTTTGACTCTAAATGGACCCTAAAGCATACCCTGCTTTATGGTCTATTAGAGACCTGTCAATCACTGTGTAGCCCCGCCCTAAAGCATACTCTGCTTTATGGTCTATTGGAGACCTGTCAATCACTGTGTAGCCCCGCCCTAAAGCATACCCTGCTTTATGGTCTATTAGAGACCTGTCAATCACTGTGTAGCCCCGCCCTAAAGCATAC